TCATACTGTCAAGTTTGATCATCTTACAAGTATAGTACATAATTACTTGAAATAGAGTAATAATAATTCACTGCATTTGTTGAAAAATAAACAATTCACTTATAAAATAATATACTAATAGAATATTGTCAGGGTGGATTCCACTGTTTCGGCAATTACGTCAGCAGCAACAACAAAACATAAACTGACCATAATTGATTGATCATCCAATGGTGTCCAAGTTCAAAGTAGAGCAGTGAAAATATTAATGGTGTATATGAACAAGAGTATTGGCTCACTTACTTTTTTTTTTCTAGTCTGACATTAGCGCTAGTGTTTGCCAAAGAAGGAACATGGTGGAACTTGTATGTTCGTGGATTCTTATCCACGAATGAAATTAAAGTAATTAGACAGAATAAAAATCACACAAAAAACAATTGATGCAACGTTTACTCAAATAATACATGTGTTATTAACCAGCTACATTCTGAAACTACGATGAACGATTTAATTCACAGTATTAGTAATTTCGAAAATTTAAATGTATAACCAAGAACATTTCTAATGCTCAAAATATTGAACTCCATCTGGACCATATAAAATTACTTCGGACAAGTATCCACGTATAGGTTGGCTTCTCCCTAAAACGAAAGGAAAAATAAGTGACTATGTTTAAAATTCATACGAAGTCAAAAGATCATATATGAAAATAAAAGGAAGGAAAAGATATGTTTAAGAAAAGTTTTAAGTTTAATAATCTCTATAATATTATTTGAGAAGTCACTTTCTTAGGTGTCGCGCTCACGTTAACTTTCATGCTGGTTGATTACTATGATACCCTTAATGAATTAAAAATATAACTAAATATTATTTCCTTTATAGAAATTTCCAAATAACCATATATAATAAAAGGAAACATTTATAAAATTTACAAAACTGTTTAAAAACGAAAAAATAGGTATATATATATAATATGGTTTAATAAAAAAAGGAAAGTTCACAAAATAGTAATATTTAATTTAAATATATTTTAAATAACATAAAATATCTCTTTGAAGTAATAAAATACTTTATATTTATATCTTCTTAGATAAAAAAAACAATATATGTTGTATATAATGTGATTTCATAAAAATATTTCACACAAAAAATATTGCTACTAGAAAAAGATATATTTTTTCTTTAAAAAGTAATTTTAAACAATAAAATATATATATATATATATATATATATATATATATATATTTTTAAAATAATTATTTTTGTATATATCTATCTATTTTATTAGATGATTACATAAAATAATCAACTAACATAAACTGATATATGTTTAACTGACATTTTTTATAATTAGTATTATTGAAATTAGTTTTTAGTATATTTATTTGACTATAATATCTTACTATTACAGTAAAAATATAAATTCTATTTTACTTATATAGTATAATTTCTCAAAGACAATCACTTTTTACTGACTATTTTAAGAGATACTAAAAATAAAACTAAAAATAAATTTAATAATAAACATATTTTGATCAAGTAACTACAATTATTTTAAAATATCATAACACTATATAATTTAACGAGGTAGATATATTATATTTTAATAGTTAAAATTATCTGTTTTAAGAATAAGGATTCTGATTTACTTAAGTATTTTGATCATGGTTATTTATGCAAAATAATTGTAGAAATTTATTCTTTTAAATATTTCTGATGTTTGAGTTCTGTCATTTATAATTATTTGATTTGTACTTTTGAAATCATAAATAATAAATTAATAAAATAACAACTAATAAATATTCATAAAAAAAATTATGCCCGCAAGTTAAACTCAAACACTTTGCATAGAACTAAGAATATATTTACATATCTAAGACAATAACCAACCGCAATGAAAATAAGAAAATTAATCAAAGTTTTATTATATTTAGAATAAAAAATATTACAGCTGAATTCGAAAAATAGATATTATCCAATATATCAAATTGATAACCAAATTGACTATTGTTCGGAAAAATAATTAAACTGACAATAATATATGCAAAGTCATATGTATAATTAGAATATTATAATATTAATTAATATAAATTATACATATAAATTGATTTGAAACTAAAACTAAATAGCAATAAATTATTATAAAATTTTACTTTATGAATATTCATACCCGTGCATGAGCACGGGAAAATCACCTAGTTGTTTAATATATAAGGATGTTCAAAACTTCGAAGAAGAGAGACTTGCATGTAAAAAATCAAATCTAAATTGACGTTTTGATGGGCGTTAGATGGTCCTGAGAGGATGGGCTTCGTGTTATGGTGAAAGTATCATATGTCGACAAATATGAATGGCCCAATCATTTGCTTAAAACTCCAATGGTCTTTAGTATATACTATATATCTTTTAAGTTTCTAACTAATTTTAGAGGTGCGGATCAAAATTAGTTGCTATTCGGCTTGTACTCACTATTTACATGATATTTAAAAAAAAAAATTTAGTATGTTTCATTTTAAAATAAATTAACTAAAAACAACATGTTGATGTATGAATAGTACAATTACATCAAATTACACTAAATTATAAATTTTATTATATAATATTATGTACAAACAAAGAATTATTATTAAATATTTATGTTATAAAATAATATATTTTACTCGATATATAAATTACAAAACATAAAAATATATATTTTTATAAAACCAACATTTTATAAGTTTACGTTAAACACAAGTTAAATCAGGCACCCGAGTTCTAGTATCTTTTAAGTTTCTAACTAATTTTAGGGATGGTCAAAATTACTTGCTATTTGGTTTGTACTCACTACTTAACTCTTAAAGTCGAGTACTCGTTTTGTTCAAGTCGAATATCAAATTGTTTATTTCAATTAATTATAAATATAAAATAAGTACCAAGTACTAAAAGAAAAACAATTATTTGACGTTGTTGGCTTGTTACTCGTAACTTATTACTTGACTTATTACATGTTTTTATCTATATACAAAGAATCTCTAAATTATAATCAATTATTTGTTTATACAATAAATGAATTAAAAGTGATAGATTATAAAAATACTTTAGAGTTTAATTTATATTTATATTATATAATAAATATTCTTTATTAAAAATGATTTAGATTATAATTATAACTAACTAATTTTGTTTTAAAAATTCATATACAAGGTTTAAGTAGCTAAAATTAATAAATTATTATTAAATAATTTACAAATAATTATATAATAATTCATAAATTAGTTCAGAAGTAACAAGAAGTAAAATGGAAAAATATTTGCAAGTATGCCATTTTTAAAAAAATATTCGAAAGTGCAAGTATTCGTACTTAGTAAATTAAATATAAGTCTAAAATTTCATTATTCGAACAAGTTACAAACCAAGTATCAAATAAACAAAAAAATAGCAAATAATTGGCTTGTGTACACCCCAAACTAATTTTATCATTTCCGCTATCTCCTTTTTTCTTAGGATTATCATCTCACACTATGAGTTGATTTTTTATTTGAAAATAATCATCATGATCTTATCATTGTACCGTTTCTATCAATAAACCTGATTTTTTATTATTGTCGTTCTATTATTTTAATTTAATTTTTGGTCTCGGGTCAGCTTCATCTTGTTTCACATATATATTTTCACCAATATGGACAATCAAAAATTATTTTAAATTACAGTTAATTTGATTTTAAAGTCACACATCTAAATTTCATGAATATTGTTGTGTATTATTATATAGAAGTACAATAAATTTTATATATTTGTCGACGACTATGAGAAAGTTAATAAAAAGAAAAAAAAAATAAAAACGTGGCCGGCCATTGTTGTATATGCATCCATTTTCTTGAGGACAAAAGTTGACCTGTTTTGTTCTCTTAAAATTATATCATATGAACCAATAAAACAAAGCCAAAACCACACGAAGATAGGAAAAACAATACTATAAATGCATATACAGTCAATTCCTTCCCTTGAGAAAGTTTCAATATTTTGAGAACAGTTGTAACCACTTCTAAGTTTCAGAAGAAAGAGAGAAGGGTATGTCAATCTTGTATGTATTTGCTCTAATGGATTCTGTTGACTTCGGAAGGGTCTACATTTTCTGATGATTTCTTTTCAGTTTTTTTTTGGGGGATGATGTTTTAGTGGCGGCAAGATGATTTTTTTTCCATTGGTTATAGATGTGCTCAGATTAAATGCAGAGATCGTGATTACTGAATTTACATTTCAATGATTTATTTGATGGATTCTTTTGTACGTTTTTCTAGTTTTTTCATAGAGAATCAGTAAAAACATCTGACCTTTTTCTCTTCCAGGTTAGCTTTTGAAACGATCCAAGATTTTCATTTTTAATTCAAAGTTATCAGGTATCATCTGTTTTCAGTTCTTAACACCTTTCAAAAATTATTTTGATAGTAGAAAGGAGGGTTCATGCCTATATCTGCTGATCAACTAATTCAATTCTTTTTTTTTGTTTATTTTTCCATCATTGTTCTTTGGAAGATAATTAAATCTTTTAGTTTTCTAGTTGCTAGATTCTGTAGTTATAAATATCAGTCACTTTGTTCATAAATCTTCATCTGATATATTGTGAAGATTTAGGATGTTGCTGTGTAGTTGTTTAATTAAAAGCTTGTGTGACCATTACAAAAGATTCCACATTCTTTTTCTCTACCATTTTTCTTCATGAAACATGTCTCTTACTAACTATAAATCCGTCAATGATTAGCTAGATAAATCATGGGTCTGATTCTAACATCAGTATCATCATGTCTTCTCCCCTTAGGTTTGAATTTTGTAGAATGCTCATGACTTTTTCTTTCCATCGATGGTTATTGATTGCATCTTTTGAAATGATGGTTATTGATTGCATCTTTTAATATCACTTTTTAAATGGAATAGTAGAGACTCATCATATGTTTTGACTTTTGTGCCATGCCCTTGATAAACCATTTTATGTGCGTGTGTTAGCTTTTGTGTCTTCCACTCAAAATAATATTCTTACATAAGAACTTCCTTTTTGCTCTATGTTTCTCCTCAATAATATTTGGGAAGAGAATGGTTTGACCTGATCTCATTTGTTGTCCTTTACAGAACAGAAGCCAGGTAGCCACTATGAATGATCTGCAAGGTCAAAGAGACGAAGTGTTTACGGACAAGAATGTATCATCATGCGACTTACCAGAGATCGTAGTCTGTAACTGCAAGGAGCTTACTCATAACGTCGTCAAAGATATATGTGTCGATGAAGGTGTACCTATGGTGAAGGAAAAGTTCGTACTCAACAAGGAAGAAACTGTAAAAGTAAATAAGAATGTTTCCGAATCCAAGTCCTTAGAAGACAACAACCCTGAAGAATGTGTTGATGATACTAAAGATGTTATTGAGTTGGTTGTGACTGAAGATGAAGTTGGTTGCGAGAAGTCTCCATCTGAAGATGTAGTAGCTGAATCAGAAACTGGGTCTACAGTGTCTTTAACCTTGGGAGAGATAATATTAATGGAAGGTTCCAATAAACTTGACAATAATGTCAACACTTATGAAACTGAAGACAACCTAGGCCGTGAGATATTAGAACAGAGGAAATCAGGGGAGAAAAAATCAGTAAGCTGGAGATATCTTCCTTCTGAAACGGTGGAATCACCAGAAGATCGACGACTAAACAATGTATTCATCGGGGACTATTATGATCATCACCATCTATTCCCACGTAACTTCCCAAATGAGTTTGGTGCAGAAAGTTTCTCTGGATCAGAGTCAGGTTTAGGTTATATTACTTACTCTGCCCACATTTCAATCTCCCGAAGCTTCTCAGCTCGTTCTGATGGAAGCACAGTCAGCGGACAATCCTTCGCTTTCCCAGTGTATATACATACACTCACAAACATATAGAAATTAAAATCAAAATTATTATCTGCATAACCATTTTTTGTTTGTGAAAACTCTGTTACAGATTGCAACAGGAATGGAACAGCACTCCTGCAAGAATGGTGAGAGCTCAGAAGCGACAATTGCAAAAAGAGAAAGGGTGGAAACATTACTCTCGTCTCTGTTGTAGATTCTGCAGATCGTGAGTGATTTTTTTCGAGTTTTTGAGTGTTTTTTTCCTCGTTTTCATGTGTTGCTTTAATGACAAGGCACAAAATCCTAAGTGCGGCAAGCTTGTGTATCAAAACAAACTATTGATTGTTATTTCCTTCGCTTAAATGGGCTTTTTCTAAGAACCGAGGCCCATTTGTTTGCAACTTGTTAAGGAAACTGTATACAAACTTGTCGTATTAGTTGGTAAAGTCGGTAACAAGTTGCCACGTCATTATCTAATCCCCTTTTTCCATCACAGCGTGTACTCCTCATTACTCGCCACGTATCACGCACAAATCGAACGGCTGCTATCTCATGTGTAACTATCCATCGAACGGCTCTCTTGACCTCTTTTAGATATTAAAAAAATAATTAAAACAGAAAGCTGACGTGTCAGTGTTGATAACGAAGAAACCATGGCCCATAACGTCGCTGGCTTTTAAAAAAGCCGTCGCCAGAGAGAGAGAGAGATAGAAGAGACGGAGGAGGAAGACACGGAGGCTGATGAATCAGTGACTCACTGAGTCGGATTTTAGCGATTCATTGCCTCCATTGAAGATCTTCTTTTCCTTCACATGCTCGACTCTTTGTCCACGATGTTTACGATGTAACTGACAAATCAATCTTCAGATCTGAGTTTCTTGTGAGTTTTCTTCTTCGAATCGTTGATTATCGTTAGGTTTCATCGGTGTATTAGATTTTAGCGTTGATCTGTTAGGTTTTAGTTATCGGAATCTCTTTGATCATTAGGTTCGTTGTGTTGATTGTTTTCTTGGATCAAAAGATGTTAATAGTATTTGTGTTGATGAGGAAAGTGGCTTTGAATCTAGAATTGTATACAGAGTTCTGATCATATACGTTTTGTCGTTATGCAGATGGCTTACCTGATGTAACACCAAGCTTAAGTTTCCTACTGCCTTTGTTGTGAGCTCGTGTTGGTTCTGAGAGATGGCAATGGCAGTTTTTAAGTCTCCAATTAAAGGTGAATTCCATGGACCTAGAAAGATGGAAGGGAAAGAGTACAAGCATCATCATCTGCTTCAGCGTCAGTCTTCAGGAAGAAGACGTGTCTTTGTGCAAACCGAAACTGGCTGTGTTTTGGGGATGGATCTTGACCGTAGTGACAATGTTCATACTGTTAAAAAGAGGCTTCAGATTGCGTTTAATTTCCCCACGGAGGAAAGTTCATTGACCTTTGGGGATCTGGTACTTAAGAACGATGATTTGAGTGTTGTGAGGAATGATTCTCCGCTTCTGTTAAAGCGTAACTTAATGCACAGAAGCTCGTCTACTCCGTGTTTGTCACCTACTGGGAATGATCTGCAGAGGAAAGATCTTAGTGGTCCTATTGAGATACTTAGCCACTCGCGTTGTTTTCTGTCTTTGAAACAAACGGGGAATGACATTGTTGAGGCGATGAAAGCAGGTGTTGAGCCAATCCTTGTTAACGGTGGGATGGGAGGTGCATACTATTTTAGGAATGAGAAGGGTCAGAGCGTTGCGATTGTCAAGCCTACAGATGAAGAACCGTTTGCTCCAAACAATCCTAAAGGCTTCACAGGGAAATCGCTTGGGGAGCCTGGCTTAAAGCCTTCTGTGCGAGTCGGGGAAACTGGATATAGAGAAGTTGCTGCCTACCTTCTTGACTATGATCACTTTGCTAATGTTCCTCCTACGGCACTTGTGAAGATAACACACTCTGTGTTCAATGTCAACGATGGAGTGAACGGGAACAGATCTCGTGAGAAGAAGAAGCTGGTCAGCAGCAAGATTGCTTCGTTCCAGAAGTTTGTAGCTCACGATTTTGATGCTAGTGATCATGGTACGTCGAGCTTCCCAGTTGCTTCTGTGCACCGCATTGGGATACTGGATGTAAGGATTCTCAACACAGACCGGCATGGTGGAAACCTTTTGGTGAAGAAGCTTGATGGGAGGTTTGGTCAAGTGGAGCTTATTCCGATAGATCACGGTCTTTGCTTGCCAGAAACACTCGAAGATCCTTACTTTGAGTGGATTCATTGGCCTCAGGCTTCGATACCTTTCTCTGAAGAAGAGCTTAGCTACATACGAAATCTTGATCCAGTGAAAGACTGTGAAATGCTGCGAAGAGAGCTTCCAATGATTCGAGAGGCGTGTCTTAGGGTTCTAGCTCTGTGTACTGTTTTCCTTAAAGAAGCGGCTGCTTATGGACTCTGTCTTGCAGAGATTGGCGAGATGATGACTCGGGAGTTCCACGCAGGAGGAGAAGTTCCAAGTGGACTGGAAATGGTGTGTATCGAAGCCAAGAGATTGATTGCAGAAGTAGATGTTTTATCTCCCAAGTCAGATCTAGAAGGAGAGACGGAGTTTCAGTTTGATCTAGACTACAGTGACTTAGATTCGGTTTATAGCTCGAAGACCCAAACCGTCATCGTCAAAAACCCATTTTCAAACGGACGTTCTTCACTTGGAAAGCTCGAAGAAGAAGAAGAGGATGAAACCGAAGACGAGGCAGGACTTGCTCTATCTCCCTCAAAGCTTTCGACATCAACCAAGGACAACAAAATGGGATCTATGTACTTGAACACTCCAAGAGACGAAACCGAGAGAACATTGTCAAGCCACAAGAGCGCGAACGTGCTGCTACCGGTTAGCACAAACTTTGTGAAGTTAACAGACATGATGGAAGCCGAATGGGTTGTGTTCTTGGAGAAGTTTCAGGAGTTGCTTGACTCTGCTTTTGCAGAACGTCGGACCATGACGTTGAGGAGTAGACAGAGACTTGGTACTTCGTGCCAGTTTTGAGAACATACAAGACTTAAAACTTCTCGGTCACATGATAGAAAAAAACCCGACGAATTTACGTTTCACGGGTTGTGAAGTAATGACTTGTTACCTACGTTACGATTAGCATACTTTTGTGGCCACGACGATCAATTGCAATGCGAATAAAGTCTTTTTAACCATCTCTAGTGAATATTTCTATTTTTATCTCATGTTTACAAGAATAACAATAGTTGTTGTCCGGCATCATGTTTACGGAATATATATAACCAGTTAAAAAAGGTTTTTATTATTTTACTGCTAAAGTTATTCAAACGAAATGATAACGTATCAATCATTGTTATCATAAGCTTTCTGCTTTTCTGAATTTTATGGCAACTTGTTCATCTTTTGGTCTGAGAATGTGATGTGTCTGTGATAAACTTATAATTTAGTGGACACAATTCATCACTGCCACATCAGTGACCATTACTTGTCTGCTTGTCAGTGTCTTTACACAAGCATTTTCCTTAAAGTCTTGATACTTTTTAGTATGTAATAATCAACTTGTTCAAAGTTGAAACTGTTCAGAAACACTGGAACTATTGGTAAACTTTGTTTCTGAAATCTTTTCCTTTATATTTGTTTTGAATATCTTTAAGGTTTTGATGGAAGCATTTTGAATAACTTTGGTTCTCATTGTATGATCAGAAGCCGACGTGTAGAAATGGTGATCTGAAAAGCTTAGAAAAGAAATGTATTACGGCAAAAGTAAACATCATCTTAGCAATTATTCTTCTCTGTTGGCGCTAATGATTAATCTCCACGAAGAGACATTTTGTAATTATTGTATGATTTGTGGAGTATATTTTTCTCCTGTTAAAAAGAAACATAAAATAAATTAATGACCTATTCAGCTTATTCAATGATAATCCCCATAAAAATGAAGTCAACAAAGTAAACGTTTTAGTTTTATTTTTACATGTAAACACACTGCAGTCTAAAACCAAACCGAACTGATAATGAAAGTTTGGTTGATACCTAATCAAATTTATAAGCAATTTAGTTATGACATGTTTTGTTGAAATAAGCAGATCAATACATTTAGATATAAGAGTCAAATCCAAACAAAACCATAAACTATAGAGGTTTGATAAGGGATCAACAACCCCAAAAAGAAAACTTATAAAATAAATAACAAGCAGATTGATTTCAATTTTATTTAACCAAAAAAAAAAAGTCAAAAGCTCGAATATATGTTTTAACCCAAAGTGAGCCGAAAACTTGATTAGTCTCTGTCCAAATATCAGATATGCCTCCATGGCCTCTCAGCGAGGCTCACACAATCACCATGTCTAAAACAATCAACCAGATGATCAATTGTTAACCCTGCCGCTTGCATGAAAGAATGTACGATAACTGGACCGACGAAACGAAATCCTCGTTTGATCATATCTTTGCTAATTATCTCAGCCTTGGGAGATCTCAGTGGTACATTTCTTGAATACTTGAACCTGTTAATGATCGGTTTGTAATCCATAAACCCCCACATGTAGCTGCTGAATGATCCAAACTCCTTGACCACCTGCAAAATAAAGTTTCCTTTGGATTTAATTAGAAAACAAAGGTGTAATATAATATTTTATATAAGATATTTTAGTGGTTTCTTAATAAAAAAAAATGGGAAGAAAATGTTGAAACTTGCCTTGGTTATGCATTTGGCGTTGTCAACTATACACCTGACTCTACTCTCTTGTAGCATTATTGCTTTGTTTGACGCAATTTCTGTGATCTCTTTCTCTCCCATTTTGGCCACCAGATTTGGGTCAAACTCACAAAATGCCTCTCTAGTTTCGCAACATTTTCATAAACATCCATAAAAATATTATCTACATGTATAATGTAGCAAATTATGGATATTGGTGAGAGATTTCACCTAAAGAGTTCTTTGCGTTTTAAAATCTCGGTCCAATTATAGTCCATTAACATTCCGGACATGGCAAGGTACTCAAAAAGCAAGCTGTTAAAATGATTAATCACATTATAAAATAATATTCATATTTTCTTAATATATGAACTATAAGCATAGTATGCTATTGTGGTCGCTATAATCATACTTATCATCATAGACAGGAACTCCCCATTGCTGATCATGAAACGTTACGTAGACTTCATCTACAAAGAAAGAAAAAAAAACCTCGTTATATTTAATTTATCATGATTAACTGATTTGGTTTAGGACATTTCTTAATGATCTTACCACTTTTCTTGGTGATCCAATTACACCTCTTTGGTTCATCACTTTCGAACTCCTGATACACAATCTTTTCTTGTTGTTGCGGAATAGCTTTTGGAACAAACGTTTCTCTTCTACGAGGAGATGAGATTAAACCGAGTGCTAGAGAGATCCTTTGTTCTAACGTGGAAGTTGAATCCGTGGCAGAGGAATCGGTCGAGTTTTGAGAGAGTGATAGAGATATAGAAGAGAGTGAGAAAGAAGAAGAAGTACTACGTTGAAGCGTGATGGGGTAGATCCTCTTTAAGTGTTTGGCAAAGAAATTTGAGGTTTGCTTAGCCTCCTTCTCTCTTACACTCCTACTTTTCTCCAAGATCGCTCTTCTCTTAGGGCTTGCTTTGTACATCTTTTGTTCTAGCTAGAGTAATTCAAAACAAAGGATGATCACAAGTACTTATAGAAGAGCAATGCACCATAAAATGGAGGAGAGGTCGAAAGTTAATTACAATAGCTAGATAGAAGTAACTACACCTAAGTTGGTGAAATGTGGATTTCATGTTTGTGAGATTTTACCATATTTGAATATTTTCTCCACTAGTGTATAAAGAAAACGGCAGTTTCATGTATCTTTTGGTAATGAAAATTTATTTAAGTTGAAAAAGACATAGCACGATTTTGCAATATTTATTGAAGTTTTAGATCTAATGCATGTATCAAGAAAGGTGAGAGACAACCAAGCTGGTGAAGTGATCCATCTTAGCACCTTTTGACATCCATCCACTTCTAATATTTAATTTGTTGGAGTTCACTTTCTGTATTTGATTTGAAACACTAATTGATAAATGTATAATCAAATTTGCGTATTATGCATGCATGAATAAAATATATACACAAAGTTCTGTAACTTTTAACTTTGTTATGAAAAACTGCTAATCTTGGAATAAGATGCCGTTGAATCATATTACTAAAAACCACATTAGTCTAGTTCGCACTCGCCAAATCTTTGTTTAGTGATTAATCAAACACCGTAAATAAAATAATTGTAAAAAAATGATTATTCTTAGCTTCTACTCTTTGCTGCTGCATGTTGATTTTTAAGAGACATCAACGTTTCGCCTATTTGAGACAAAGAAGGCTCATCTTTCTCTACGTATATGTTTAATTCGTCTAAATTAGTTAAATGGATGTTAATGCATGTAAACAGAGGGGTAAATTGATGTGTATATACAATAGTTACTATCTGTGTAGACGACATGTTAAACCGGTAGAGAAATAGAACCGGAACGGATATATAATAGATTCGGTTTAGTTGAAAACCGGAATTAGGTTTTTAAAATCATAAACCCCAACAAGCGTTAAACCCTTTTGTCATCTTCTCCATCTCTGCCCTCCCAAACTTTCCGGGAAAACCAAATTTTCTCTCTCTCCGGCGAACCTCAATTCTCAAAAATTAACTTCATTTTCGCCGGAAACGACAACCCAATCTCCCGAATTGCAAAACCCTAATTCCCAAATCCCATGATCTGTAGATGGATCGCATTCAATCCAATCAAATTCTCCCGTGTTCTCTCTCCATTCTCTTCCTTCTTCTCCACTAAACCCTCCTTCTCCCTCGACGACTCACTCCCCACAACCAATTTCACATCCGATCAGAGAGATTACTTCCGTAATGAGATTCTCTTCGGGATGAAGACGATTGGGTTCCGTGAGTATCTCCACGGGGTTCAATTTCGAGGGTTGGTTTCGGATTTGAAGCAAATCCACGTGGAAGAGATCATGAGTGAATTGATGAATGAAAGTTCGGATCTTTCGGTTTGGTTTTTCAAAGAGTTGAAAGATGTTTATGGGTTTCGTCACTCGAGATTCTCCTCGTTGTTGGTTTCTCATATCTTAGCTGGCCAAAGACGTTTCAAGGAGCTTCAAGGTGTTGTGGAACAGCTTCTCCAAGAAGAAGGCAAGTCTTCTCTCTATTATCTGATTTGATTTCACTTAAAAGCTTTGAGCTTTGTGTGGAAGTAGGTGTGGATGGATAGATAAAAGAGGGAACTTTAGAGTTATGTAATGTAGAAACCTGAATATGTCTTATTGGTTTTTCCTTTTTAGGCTCTGATTCAGCACCTTTGCTATGTGAGCTTCTCTCTAATAACTTCGTGAAGTGGGAGTCTACAAACGTAGTTTGGGATATGTTGTTGTTTCTCTCGTCGAGATCCAAAATGGTTGCTGATTCACTTTATATCTTGGAGAAGATGAGGGATTTGAAGTTGAGTGTGTCTACACAAGCATACAACTCAATTTTGTATAACTTCAGAGAAACAGATAAGATATGGGATGTGTACAAGGAAATGGAGTCTAGGAACGAGTACACATACTCAACAGTTGTAGATGGATTGTGTAGGCAACAAAAGCTAGAAGACGCAGTTTCTTTCCTCATGGATTCTGAGTGGAAGGAGAATGGTCCTTCTGTAGTTTCATTTAATAGTATAATGTCAGCTTACTGTAAATTGGGTTTTGTAGATATGGCGAAGTCTTTCCTCTGTACAGTTTTGAAATGTGGATTGGTTCCTAGTGTATATAGTCACAACATACTCATCAACGGGCTCTGTCTAGCTGGTTCCATCGGAGAAGCGTTGAAGTTAGCTGATGATATGCATATCCATGGAGTGGAGCCTGATACTGTCACATACAATATTCTTGTGAAAGGGTTTCATCTCCTCGGTATGATCAAATGGGTTTGGGAGATCATTCAACAGATGCTGGATAAAGGATTGACTCCTGATGTTATTACATATACTATATTACTTTGTAGTCATTGCCAGTTAGGGAACATAGACAGGGGCTTAAGATTGCTGAATGATATTTTGTCGAGGGGATTCGAGTTAAACAGTTTTATCCCTTGCAGTGTAATGCTCAGTGGTTTATGTAAAACAGGACGGATCAAAGAAGCTTGCGATTTGTTCAATAGAATGAAAGCCAATGGTGCAAGACCTGATATTGTGGCGTATTCTATTGTGATTCATGGCCTTTGTAGATTAGGAAAGCTTGATATGGCGATTCGGCTTTACGACGAGATGTGTTCCAAAAGGATTCTTCCGAATTCTAGGACACATGGTGCTATGTTGCTTGGTTTATGTCAGAAAGGGAAGCTACTTGAGGCAAGAGCGTTTCTTAACTCACTGATCTCAACAGGCTGCACACTTGATATTATTCTTTACAATATCGTTATTGACGGGTATGCAAAGTCTGGTTGCATAGAGGAAGCGTTAGAGTTATTCAAAGTAGTGATTGGGAGTGGTGTAACTCCGAACGTTGCAACTTTCAATTCTTTGATTAATGGTTATTGCAAGACTCAGAACATAGCTGAGGCTAGAAAAATCTTGGAGGTCATCAAGTTATATGGATTGGTTCCAAGCGCTGTGAGTTATACAACTCTGATGAATGCTTATGCTAACAGTGGAGATACTGAAAGTGTAGATGAGTTGTACCGTGAGATGAAAAGAAAAGGAGTCACACCGACCAACTTCACATACTCTGTGATTATTAAAGGACTTTGCATAGGGCGGAAACTCGAAAATTACAACCAGGTACTGTCGGACATGGCTTCTGAAGGTATAACTCCAGATCAGATCACTTACAATACAATTATTCAGCATCTATGCAGGGTTAAAGCTTTATCCAGAGCATTTGAGTGGTTTGAAGAAATGAAATCTAGAAATCTTGAGCCTACGCCTGCCACTTATAACATTCTAATCAACGGTCTTTGCTTCTACGGTTACATAAAGGTTGCTGATAGGTTTCTCTATTCGCTACAAGAGAGGGGTGTTAGTTTGTCAAAATTTGCTTATACCACACTGATCAAGGCACATTGTGTAAAAGGTGATCCTGAAATGGCGGTGAAGCTGTGTTGTCAGATGTTGGATAGAGGATTTGATGTTTCTATCAGGGATTACAGTGCGGTGATCAATCGTCTGTGTAGGAGAGAATTGGGAAAGGAGGCTAAGTTCTTCTTCTGGCTAATGTTATCACGAGGTGTTTTGCCTGACTTTGACATCTGCAGAGTGATGATCAAGTCAGCGGATGTGCTTGCATGGACTATCAAAGCGGGTTTGTTACCTTAAATGTCTATTGTCCTTATCTTATCTTGAGAAGGCACACTTTCAGTAGAGAAGCTGTCACATGAAGAGGTAACTTTCATTAGTTTTACTGTTACTGTAAAATAATAAACCAAACAAGTAGCTTAGCTAACTAACTGATGCTTTGTTAACAGATTAATCTTGGCTACTGGATGGGACCATCCGGGACCAATTGTATCACATGAGCTTCTTTCAAGGATCGCTGTTAGTGATGTTTCTTGATCATTTGAATAGAGATACTTCCTCTTTGTTGACCATCTATCATCGAATGATTGTGTATTCACCCTTGGAACAGGACACCTTTGTCTTTCACTTTTGATCAAGTACAGTGCAAAGCAGATTTTCAGTTCCCTCAACCAAACACAAATAATCATTGGTGGTCTTGCTTCTCGAGTCATAAAGCTGTATTGTCTTGTTCAAGCTCTTCTGAAGGTAAACTTAGTGGTTCTTGAGCTTTCCCAGTTTCTTTACTAAATCTGCATTGTGACTATAGCATGCTTGGAATTGTACATTAGAGTGTTGAAGAAAGTGTTCAAATGGGGAGAAGGGTTTTATATGACTCTAACAAGCTTCAGATTTCTGTGATGGACTCAAGGGTCTGAGCCAATTCAAACGCAAACTAAGAAAGACGATTACCTCATGTTTTCGACAAGATTCTTTTTTTCTAACATCTTGCAAGTGTTGTTGTTCGTGCTCTATGTAAGAACATCTTGTCAATGTCTGAAACATTTTTGTATCAGTTTGCATCACATTTGTACATTGTTTTGGTTTTCTAAGAAAATTTTCGGTTGTAAGAAGTCCATTACATACATTTTATAGAGGAAAAGATTACATGATACATCACAAACAAATTCTGCATCTATATTATTATTAAATACACGGTTTGTGTGTTCTGGCAAATTGTGAAGTTCGACAACATCGACCAATGACAATGAAACCAATAAGATAACAGTTGGTTATACATACCAAATTTATGTATATATATATATATAAATATAAAGATGTTACAAACACAAAGCTCAAAATTACCCATATATATATTAATGTATGTATGTATAATATCTTATATAGTGATATTGATTAATATTTAATAAGGACGATTTTGTTGGGTCTTTTATATAAACATAAGATAAATTTGCTCAGTTGTTCTTGGGAGGATGGTGCCTTGGTTTCCAGTAATCAGCTGTGTAGGCAACAAGATCATCCTCATCCTCAACACTTGTCTCCTTCTCTGTTGGCCTCTTCGAATTCATCTTCATCATCGTCGTCTCCTTACTAAACTCTTCTCCACTTCTTCCTTGTACTTGCACCTTCTTCATTGCATCATTACCACCAACATGCTTCACCAATCAACATATTATTAGATTACATATAAAGCATACTACTACTCGAGTCATGTTCATGAGTAGATTCAAACTAGCTAAATCTTGACCAATTAATTAATATATAAGAACTAAAAGAGAAGCCATTATACTTGATTAGTTCTTATGTTATGTATGATTCACTACCCAAGAAAACATAGATGTAAACATTTGCAACGTGTATACTTACCTTCGCATTTGAAACAACGTCAACACTTGGCTTTTCATTCTTATCTCCTGATGAAATAAAATATGACATATATATATAAGCTGCGTTCTGGTTAAAACAACTATATAAATTATGCATGCATTTCATGCAAACTTAATAAATAGTTTATAAGAAAGTGATTGTCATTCTCAGAATGCAAGTTATTACGTAAAGGTCATAAAACTATGAGTTAATATCTCGAATACTCATGACATTAAAAATATGAATAGAGAAGAGGGATATAAAATAGAGAGAGATAAACCATGAGGGGAATATCCACACGAGAGGCAAAACAAAAGAAGGATCAACAAACACAGAAAGCTTGAAGTGATGGTCATCTTTTATTTTTGTTCCTCTTAGCTACCACAATATTATCAGAAATGATGAGATTGTAATATGCAAAGGATGATGAGGATTATAACTCTATTAATCAGCTTGTGTTTATATAGAAGATCCAAGGAAGAAAATCCAAGAGAATGTCAATGTCAATATAATATTATTTTTCTTTTACCATAGCCATGTGTCTCTATTGGGAACCTGCCATCGACGTTGGGACACAAGTAGATTCCCAAAAAAAAAGGTAGGAAACTGTAAATTACAATATGAGGATCCATGTTCTCACTTCACAGTCACCACTATATAAGATTAAGAAATGAAAAAAATAAACTAAGTGAATAGTTTACGAATTAAGCTTATAACAATATCTTTTTTAAAGGACTGCTCCAACTTCTAATATCAACAGAGGTGTACAATCTCATGACAATTTAAAAGAAAGACATCTTGTTGACCAAATTTATATTATTATGGTTATTTAAGAACTTGTAACTACTAGCTAAGTCAATAGGATGTTGTATTATTCAAGAACATCCCCTTTTAAATCTCGGAAAGTGTAAATTATCTAGTGAAAAGGGAAAAGCACGTAGTACATAAATGTGTATTTAAATATTATTAATCTGTTTTCTGGAGAACAATTCTTAGTTTCAACTTCATATCGCTAGAAACCTCATCAGAGAACCAATCAGGACGGTCCAATGGTCTCGAGGGAGCTTCGGTCCAATACGAAACTGGGTTGGAATCCCACTCATCACTAAAAATAAATTTAAAATATGGATTCCTCCCGTGTCCAGTGATCGAGTCGTACTCCAACCGATAATATAAACTATTATGAATACTCGCCGCTAGTCTAAACTCATTTTGGTGAGTACCAGGATACATTGGATTATCAAATAAGAAAAAAAACCTCATCAGAGTCTTTGGTTCCATCTCGCTTGGAAGTTCCATCTTCCTTATCTTATTTTATAACGAGAGTTTTGTAGAAAACATTGATACCCAGTTTTCAATCAAACGAAGTTCATATATACCAGACAAAAATCTGTGAGAATGTCTGTTTAGTCCACGCAGGAAAGGCCAGGAACCATATAATACATCAGATTTTAAATGTATACAGTTGGCTTCCAGTTACATAGATTAATAATATTTATCGGGAGTATTTCTTTTATGATCTCAATTCATTTCTCTCATAAGTACACGAAGTGTGAAAGTGAAAAAGCAAGAATTTACGTTGGGAATGGCCACAAAAACATCGAGTGAAGAGAAGGAAACATAACGTAAAATGCAATTCACGGATATATGTGCGTGTTTTGTGTTTGTCTCTTGCCATATTGCCACTTCTCTATATTCAAGAACCAAATCAAGTTAGCAACATTAGTTGTCTTTTTTAAAGCAAATTTAAATTAGCAACATTAGTTGTGTTAACTGTGTCAGACTTACCAAACTATTTTAATTTTGTTCGTATATTCAACTACACTAATGTATTAAAAACTGAATGTTTGTTCCATTTTATTTATAAGTCAACTAAAACCGGAGTAGCTTGACATATATATCATTACTATATGACTTTCATACTACCATTAATTACACTTCAACTCTCCGTGATCATCTATAGCATATATTTTAGTTTCATTTGGTTCTACTGTTGCGATTGGCTGCAGTATGCAATTCTTTTACGAGTTCTATTCTGGGTGTGTATATTATGTTTGTGGATCTCTCTTTTTGGTGGCAGGTAGAAGAGAAATTCATCTTCATCTTTAGTTTGATGAATATGGATGTGGTGGGTTATGATTTTTCGTTTGTCCTTCGTTTGAATCAGTCTTTTTTTCTAATATTTTTTCCTATATGGAGTGAAGATGAACAAGTTTAGTTGGTAGTGCAAGGATTTTCTTCCCATCAAATGCTCTTCTGCGTATGATGTTGTGTGTGTGGTTCTACGGGTTACACTAGATGCGATCTTTAAAGTAGCTTATGACGTTGTTATGATACAATTTCATATAGTTTCTTTTGTGATTTGTACATCTTTTATGTTCGTGTTATTGTTTGTTTTGGCTGTCAATAGCTTCTTCGTATCCTCCTTAGTTTTTAATACTAATGCAACTATTGTTTGATGAAAAAAGAATCCATACATATTGTCAAAGGATCCATCCATACTGTCAAAGGAAGATCCCCAAATTTTACTTAAAGTGAACAAAATTAAAAATTGGCAGGTTGAAAGACGTCGGTCGAAACATGAGTTATTAAATTATTAGTTATTGAGACGTATTAAAACATATGTAAGCTAATCTGTATGATTTTTATAATTGGAAAATGTGTATCTTTGTTAGTATCAACTTTTGTACGCTATATCTCCCACATTGCACCAAAATTGAAGTACCTAATTGCTTTACTCGATCAGAATGTATCACCCTTTTTTTCACAAGTACCATATCTTATTTTAATCTGATTAACTGTTGTCTGTGAGCTGTAGTTAGTTATAGGCAAGGGTTATAGCTTTATAGGTACCGTAAATCCATGCCTCCTTATATATAAATTTCAAACTTTATTTGTATCAAAGAATTATTTTCGTAAACCGCTACAGAATTTGAAGGTCTCAGGTCTTCAATCATAGACACCTTAATTTTTAGTTACGTTCTCTGTATATTTATATAATAGAATGCATAGTGATTTTCATTATCCCCTATATATTAATTGAAAATCATTTTAAAAATTGTAACCTTAAGTTTGTAATAATTAAAAATAACCTCAATCCTATTAGGCATAACTATTTGGCTTCTATTTCAAATTCCAAAGATTTTAGAGCATGTGATATAATGTATAGTCTAAAATTTATACTTTCTAACAATATAATATTTCGTAGGCTATAGTTGGTCGCATATATCAAATATTTATTGTTTCGCATGCTTTCCTTAAATAAAACCTACAGAATTATCTTATATGATTAAAATATATATGACAATTAATGATTTTAAACAATAAAGATTTGATAACAATATGTATACTTTTTCTAATTTTGTTTATTTCTTTATTAATAAAATAAATTACACAATACAATAATCATATAATAAAAATCTAGATTTTGTTTTGTGTATGTTGTATTTCGAATTTTTTAAAATGAGTATAAATTACTAAAACTGTTATAAGTCTCACATAAAATTTTAGGATCAAGGTTTTATTTTTTTCTATAATAAAATATAATGATTATAAGACCATATGAAGAAATGATTTTAATTTATATATACTTCATATCATTTTAATTAAACTATTCATCGTATGAAAATACATACTTATATTTTAATATTTGCATTGAACATATATTGAAAATTTAATATTTTAGTTTTGAAATATGTCAATTTTTTTTAAAAAAATGATTATAACTTATTGAAACTACTAAACATCTCAAATTAAAAAAAAATCGTTGGTGTACAGTTTTGTTACACAAATATGCAAATAATCATAAAATCATATAAGTAGAAACCTCATTTAATAAATATCCATATTAAAAGTGTGCTATATTAATATGTTTATATCATTTAAATTTAATTATATATCATATACATTATATATGATTGATTATTTGATTTATTTACCATAATTGCGAATAAACAAGTGTGATAGTTAAATTTATATGCATACGCCAATTTATTACATAATAGTAACTGATTTCTTAATTATTGAATATCTATATTTATTATTTTATTATTTTATAATATGAAAAATATAAAAAAATATAAAATATAAATATTTATTGTGCATAAAGTGCACACCTTAACCTAAGTATCTATCTCTTTAATTATTTTAAATGTTAAGTATTTTCTAAATCCAGGTCAAAACAAACAAACAAAATGAGAATAAACTTCAAAATAATATTTATATCGAGTAATAACCAAAATAAAAAACATAACCAGAGAAAAAATTGAAGATAAATAGGATTGACACGTGAACGAAAACTTCTCATAACCATAATTAGTTTTAAATTGTTAAATCATGATATAAAACTGAGTTAATGTTTAATTTGTTAATTTTTATATTTTTTAAATCATTAGGGTTATGTTAAATCATGACCATAACTAATTTTAAATTTTTTATTTGTATTTGAAAAACTTAAAATATTATTTTTAAAAAATAATTTAAAATTTAACTTATTTTTTTATAAAATTATTTTTTTTTAAATTGTAAAAATATAATTTTCTAATATTATTAGACAAATAAATAAAATATATTAAGTTAGTTTTGAAACTTATATATTTTCAATGCAAATATTTTACCAATTGTTTCTTAAGAAAACATTAGAGAACTTGCTAATACTCTACCAATCAAGTCCAGTGATACTTTGTTTATTTTCCATCACTCGAACACTGAAAAGTGAAAAGATATATGAAGTCGGGTCCATTAAATTCTAAGCTTTGATCTACAGTTCTAACGATAATAGTTTCTGATCCTACATATAGATAATTATATAAAAATTCCAAAATTCTAAAATTTCAAATACATATAAAAACAGTAATATGTAAATTTTAAATTTTTCAATACTAGAATTTTATATTTTAATTACATATATTCACCATGCGCAAGGTGCATATCTTATCCTAGTTTACTACTATTTTCGTATTTAATTCTCTATTTTGTAAGGATTTTTAATCAACAAAAATATTGTTAGGTTCGGTTATGCAGTATGCACATTACATGCTAAATAAATGTGAAAGCAAGTTGTAAACACTGGCATTGGCGATGTAGTGCAGAATAAGCGAAAAACAGACCTCTTGCCATATCGCACTTTAGCAGCTCTTTTTAATACGTACCTCATTATTTGTTACCAGACCTATATTACTAAATTGTTACCATCTTTTGTTCATTACGCATTATTAGTAATTTAGTACTAAATTTTTGATCCGTGCTTAAAAAAAGAGATATCATTTTTGTTGTTTTATCTAAAATTTTTTTTTCTTTGATGATATAAAATGTCACGATCTAATATAACTTTAAAACATTAATGTAAATTTTAATTTATTGGTAGCATCAATTGTTGGAACTAGTTTTTGACAATGTGGTGTGGACCATTTTTCCCGATGGGTTTTGCGACGGAGACATCTGTCGGAAATATTGGAATTTGGGCACGATGTAATCGTCACCGTGAACACTATGAGTTAGTATATTTACTTGTCAAAATCAAAGTTGTTTTGAATGAAAAATGGAGGTCGAAAGTGAGTGATATACAAAGCTTATAAAAATTTAATTTTGATTAAATGTAAAACCTTTAGCAAATGGATCACTTTGGATATTTGGGTTAGAATCTTGAATTTGAATTTGTTAATGGGACATTATGTCAATTAACTTATTTGGTTATTCATAATAATTTTTATATGTTTATTTAAATATAAAAATTATAAACCCAAGCAAGTATATTAAAGTTTGTTGACTTGATCAAAAACCATAATGTTACTTTGCAAAGTGAACGTACGTGATCTTGGAATTCAATTCCATTATCACAATTGATTGATACGTTTGCTGACTCCATTTATTACATAAAGTGTATTATTTTTTCGATGTTAAATAGAGAATAGCACGTATGGAGAAAAAAACATAGATAAACAAATCAAGCAATCCCTCATATAATTTCTTTTGTTCTCTCTTTGATATTTTTTCCGAGTCTGAGAGTATACACAAAACCAGTTTCACCAGGTTTCTGATAGAATAACGCAAATCAGAAGATTTTTTATAGTTATATCATGGGATCCATTACGTTATTGAATCGTCGCATTACGGGACGTATTTTGGGTTAAGAAAAGAGATAATATCTTGACTCTGCTTTGCATAATCCGTTGTTAATCTTTGGTATAATTTTATCGTTATATTCTTTACAATATTCAGTATTTTCCGTAGTTTATATATTACGGTTCTATCATCAATATTTATGTAAATGTATTGTATGTAATTGTATAGTTTTATTTTGGAAAAAATATTAATTAACTAGGTTTAGTGCTGGGAAGCCGATCAAACTCACGATCAAACTCACCTCGCCCGACCCGTAAAGAAAATATATTTTATCCGCATCTGTCTCACTTAATTGCGGGTAATCTGCGAGACCCGTGGATAATTATTTCTAAAAAATTATATTAAATTGTATTTTTTCATTAATTTTAAAATATTTGTAAAAAATATAATTATTATTAACGAAATTTATTATATTTTTGAAAACTAAAATTTTCAAAAAAATTCTATTTTTGCTGATTACCGGGTACCCGTAATTGAAATTAAAACAACCTGCATCCATCTTGCGTAGAATATAATTGCCCGCACCCGCACCTGCAACTTAAATTTTTCAAACAAATCAACCTAGTCTGTGGCGGGTCAATCTGCGGACTAATATCAAAATTCTCAGTTTTAACTACGTCAATTAAGATTGATGTGTTTATATCTGAAAGAAAATTTATAAATAACTAAAAGGTGAATTTAGCCTATTAATAAAACTTATTATTATATTGTTTTTAGGTCTAAAAATAAAAAAAAACTATACTGCAATTAATGAAAATAAAAATTTATTACAACATATAAAATAGTTTTGGAAAACATAAAAAACTCATTTAAAGAGAATGATCTCTTTTAATGGTATTGATGTAGTGAGTCCTAAGAAAATATTACAATTTAGTTTATTGGGCCTGTAGCGTGCTAAATCTGGTCTACTCTTTTTCTGCGGGTGCTTATAGAGATTTTGAACAAGGCCTAATTTGAACATTACCAAATATTTTGTTAATTACGAAAAAACAATATCGGCCAGTTTAGTTATGGATTGTAGGCTCCTATATGTGATCTCACACTTATTTTAGACTAAGGATCTAAAAGATGAAAGGGAATAATGCATTCTTTACCATTCCTATTTTTTTATTATCATTTATAAAGAATATATACTTTTCAATTTTCTTTTTTATTCCTTGTATTCTAGAAGAATATATAACAAATTTATTCCTAAAAAATTGATAAAAAATAATTTTCCTTTTCATTCCTATAATTTTCTTCCTCTACGATTTTTTCTTATTCATTTTTAATCTTTATGTGATGGTCACCAGTTAAATCCTATAAGTTTTTGATCCCCATCTTATTTTTTTTTTTGATCAAAGATCCCCATCTTAAATTTAAGACATTCGATTCCGACTGATTAACAAAAAGAAATTAATTAAGGGCTAACATGTCGTTAAGTATGCAATCATGCAGATTTGAATTTATATTCGTTAATCCAAAAAGATATCGCTCGTGTAATTTCAAAAGAAAGATTGATGTGAATTTTCCTTAAGTGATGATGGGATTAAGCTTTCTGTCCTACAAACGAATAAATTACACACTAGTTTAGTCATTTATTCTCCACTACACATCAGTTTCCCTTTATTAGGTTCAAAAGTTATCCAATAACTTATTAACTATATATTCTTATAACCATAATGCAAGTAGCCTCTAGAAAACTAATAATGATCGGTGTTTCATATATGTTCTCATACATAAGGCGTTGTTATATTGTAATGTTTCACTATATTCAAACGCTATTATGAAGTCTATAAGTTTTTAACATCCATTTCCATCTTTAAAAATAATTTGGGTATTTTATTAACACAAAAAAGTTGGTTTCTCTTGTATTATACTTGCACACAAGCTGATTCGTTATATCAAATAAATAAGAAAAATCCCATAAACGCAGAAATTAAGAGAAGTGTTTTCCATAATTATGGAAATGATATATTACATTAAGCCTTAATCTTAGCTTTATAAAGTAATATTTATAAAGTAATCTTAGCTGTGTTTCAAAATAAAAAAGTAATATTTAGATAGATGCAAGATATAAAACGAGAAAGAGCATTAAAAATAAAAATCTTAGCATCATCAATTTTTAATCACAGTACAAATAAAGAAACAATTAATCAATATCAATAGACTATTATTATGGCGCCCATCATATAGTGCATAAGCCATTCGTTTTTCTTCCTACCACTTAATCTAAAAGGCGTTAAAAAGAGAGAGAAAAGATTCTTGAGTGAAGATGGGAACAGCAACGTCGTCGATGGCGGCGAAGTTAGCTTTCTTCCCACCAAATCCGCCGTCGTACACGGTGGTGACGGATGAATCGACTGGGAAGATGAGGATAACTGCGGAAATGATGCGTCACCGGAGAGATGAGGAAATAGAAGTGGTGAAAATAATGACTAAAAGAGGGAATGAGATCGTGGGGATGTACATAAAGCATCCAACGGCTAAACTAACAGTTTTGTATTCTCACGGCAACGCCACTGACATAGGTCAAATGTTCATCATCTACAACGAACTAAGTCACCATCTCAATGTCAATCTCATGGGGTTAGTCTATTTATGCATGATGCCATTGTCATTTATTTGATTCTATAGTGGCCGTAGTTCACATAAATCAATTCAAATACTATAAACAAATCACTGAGTTTACTCAGCATAGTATTCCCAATTCTAAAAAATAGTTTTATTCCCAAGAAAAAACATTTCTTCAAATTGCGTATTTCATGATTTAAAATTTTAAAGCTGGCAACGAATTTTAAACTATTTTAATAAATAAAACGTAACAGTATATATATAAATATTATGAGAAGTTTATATGTAGAGATCGGTGTATATTATTACACAACTGATCAAATAATTGACCAAATAAATAATCAGGATAATTTGAATAATATATATTAATATGCTGTTTTATAAAGAAATTGTATATGGTTTTCTGTGATGATAATTGCAGATACGATTATTCAGGATATGGGAGATCTTCTGGTAAGGTAAGTCATTATTTTCCATAATTTCAAATTACCCTTGTTTTGGGGGAATTAGCGCGTCTAAATACGTGTAAGTTTTGTAAACTTAGCTAGAATAATTTACATGATGTCACGCTACTCAAATTTTACAAAAAAAATCTAGATTATTAATGTATTATTATTTAACGATGTGATTGGCCGTGTGTATTGGAATTGATTTGGATCGTTTAATGTTGAAAGCCAAGCGAGCAAGAGACGTACGCAGACATAGAAGCAGCTTACAATTGGCTAAAAGAAACGTACGGTATAAAAGATGAACGTATCATTTTGTACGGACAATCTGTGGGAAGTGGACCGTCGCTTGAACTTGCTTCTCGTCTTCCACGTCTTCGAGCACTTGTTCTTCACAGTCCTTTCTTGTCCGGTCTACGTGTCATGTACCATGTCAAGCACTCCTTCTGGTTCGACATTTTCAAGGTTCCAGGATCGCATTTTATCCAAAAAACAAAACAAGAAAATTACTATTTAGACTTATTAGTGATTTTACATTGCAGAATATTGAGAAAATTCAACTCGTGGACTGTCCCGTTCTTGTGATTCATGTAAGTGTATTTTCTCATTAATATTATAGTTTCCTAATTTACATTATACAACATATAAAAATAACAAGAAGGTAACGTCGTTTGCGTGTTATGCAGGGAACAGATGACAAAGTGGTGGATATTTCACATGGGAAGCAATTATGGGAGCTATCCAAAGAAAAATACGAACCGTTATGGCTTAAAGGAGGAACCCATTGTAATCTTGAGATGTTCCCTGAGTATTTACCTCACTTAAGAAAGTTCATAGGGGCCATTGAGAAGCTTCCAGTTCCACAATTCCGACGCCATTCAGTATCGGATGATCACAAGAAAGGGAAACAACAATTGGATCCGAAGAAGAGTAGTAGTTGGATTAGGTCCAGGCATAGCACGGAATGTGTAACTTCTAGAGACAAATCAAGAAAGATGAGTATTGGTCATCGGCTTGGGAAGGCTAGAAACAGCACGGATAGCTTTGATCGTCCTAGGAATAGCTTCGACAGGTTAGTATTTTAAGACCATCGATTCGATTATAGTTCGATTTGTACACTTAAAAATTTATATTTTATATATATTGTGGTCTAAATTTATGGTATTTTGGTTATAGGTTTGGTGAAATGGTGAGATCAGTTCGATTGTGTAATGTTGATTGTGTGAAGAATGCAGTTGCAAAGGCCTGAGGATTGTTGTTAGAACCGAACCAACTATTGTTTTTTTTTCTTTCTTATTCGTTGGTTTCTTTGGAAAGGAGAAAAATGTTTTGTAAACATATATATCCTTCTCAGTTTTCACTAAAAAAAAATAGAAGAACATTATCTTTTAAATTATTTTTAAAAAAAAAATTATTTATCAACTGTTTGAAGTTTGAACCTTGTTATTCGAATATTGTTAACAGTTTCTCCAATTTCTATTTCTTTTGTGCGTCGAATTTACATTTCTGTTGCACATATATTTGCTAAACGAGGACCATTGAATGGGTATTTCTAGAGTGATTATCTTTACCTTCCTATATGGTTAACTCCAAGTTTGTATTCGGATATTCAACTTTCATTATAAATAAATTCTAATTTTGCCGGAAAAAAGGAATCTGTGTTTTGCTGTTTCTGAAGGTTTTTATTTTTAATTTTGTTGCTTTTAAGAAAAGAAGTCCATATAAGGATGAAAATCAGCAAAGTTGAACCTAAAGATTTGGTCAAGACCGTACTGCAAGTCATGATGCAGATATGTTTACAGTTTACATTGAACTAAACGTAATAGTATTAAATTGGCTTCTCAAGACCGATCTGTTGATATCAAAGACATAAATAAAAGTAGTCAACACATTAATTAAGTTGCCGTTTTCATGCTTCCTAAAACACTATTTAAAGGTCTCATCCGCCAGAAAACAAACATCATCAAACAGTAAAACATAAACACTAAACTGATAAACACGATATTTCAAAATCAAAGATGGCATCAAAGACAACATTGTTCATTTTGTTCGCTCTCTTCCTTTCTTGTAAGTCTCTCTCTCTCTCTCAACCTACGATTTGAAACATAGCTTTATTCTAATGTAATTGTAAAAACTGAACAGGCATATTGTTGGTGAGCGTTCCTGAAGCTGAAGCGCAGCTGATAATTCCATGCAAGAAAGCTGCTGATTGTAAAGGGAAGCTTTTTTGTTCCAACGGAAGCCCACAATGTGTGGTCAGACAATGCCAATGTGCGAGCGTCAAACCAGTTAACCTGATGAGGACAAAGACTCCTGTCCGTCCAGACAATCTTTGAGTGTGCTTTTTCTCATCAGTGACCGAACAGTATATGCTTGCATTATTGAATGATAATGTAATTGTTTGCCTTCATAACCATATTTTTAAAACTGAATTTATCATAATTTTTATAAAACATAATTTGGTCTTATAAAATATTTTTCTCCTGTTTATAGTAACAAGCAATCACACTCACATACGAATATATATTAAACTCGTTTCTCACTAATTCTCCCTGCCCAAAATTACAGCACGAAGAGCTCAAATGATATACCAGAGTGATGATATATCAACTTTTACAATTGTAAAAGTTCGAGGTGATTATAAGATATATCAATTTATAGGATATGTATTTATCCTATTGTAAAATTTAAACGTGAATTTCTGACTGGAGAATAAATGAAAAAAAAGTTCGATAGAATTTAGGTGATATAAATAAGAGTAACTAATAATTCATAATCGGCAACGAATGTACACCCCTTTTAGTGAGTGATTTTTTAATGTCCCTTAGATTAAACTAGAGTTGGACCCGCCCGACCGGACGGGTGTTTCTTATGTTTATGTAATGTAATTAAATATTTTTTACACTATTATATAATCTATAAAAATTATAATAAAAATGATGACAAAAATACATCACATAGTACATATATTACTGTAAAATTATTTTTTGAAAAATAGCAAATGTGCATTTGATCACATTATGACAACAAAATTGAGTTAATTCATAAATATATGTGAGCTAAACCTTTTAAAAAACCTAACTTCGATAAGGTAATTTAAGTTGGGCCATATTTTAATTAAATTTTGTCAAAATACCTGTGCAAATGGCCCAGATAACCCAAATATTTTATTTTTATACCGACAAGGCCGTTTGTATTATGGAAAAAAAATTGAGGTTCTTTAATTTGGTGAGAACCTCATGTCCATCAAATATTCTTTTTAAACATAGATTTTGAAGGTTATCTTGAAATTTATTTATTTTTATTCAACATTTGCTTCAAATTAATTTATGTTATTTCAAATAAAAAATTTCGTCGTTATTTTAATTTTTTTTCATATTAGTTTTCAGTTCGAAATTTTTGTTTCTACGAAATGGTAAAAGATACGCTGTAAATATAAATGTATTATATAATTATTAATATGTCAAAGTATTAATTACATAGATAAATTTATTTGTTTTATTTAAAATCGATTGTATTCGATATTGGTGTCATATAATTAAATTGACATTTATAAATAATTGGACATATAAATCTAAATTTTACAAAATGATTGGGATTATATTTATGTATCCAATTTTTTATTGATCAAGTTCTCAATTGTTTGTAAATTATTTTGGTTGTATATTTTATTTAATGAATTATTGAACTATGAAGACTAACCTGTGTCCAGACATGTGTATTACCTTTTTATATTATAGCAGTAAGTTTATATACTGAATTATATAATTTATTGTGTAGTATTATATATTTGAATAAATTTTTAAAAAGAATATAAAATATTTATAATATATACTTTGTTTTATATTTCTAATATAGAAAAACTCTGGTCAGATTAATTAATAGTATGTTGCCATGTTTTAAGATAAAAATTAAATGTTGCCGTGTTTTTAGTTAATATATCTGGTCAAATTTAAATATGGAATGCTATTCAGATTTTCCTAAATTATTGTTGCCATGTTTTTAGGTAAAAATGGAATTAGGAAATGCATTAATACAAAAGGAAAAGACAAAGAATATTAATGTTAGGATATTTAATTACTTCAGTGGCATGAAATTGTAATTAAGTGGTAAAATTAAGAGGCATTTCAATAGGGTACTTCTATTTTAATAATAGAGACTAGATTTCAATCCACACAACCATGCGGATATATATCTTCACATTTCTATATAAATATTTGTTTTACAGATCAAAATATACATTTTTAATGTTACTCACATATTTAAATATTTGTATAATTATTTGAAATACAATAATTTTATAATTTTTATACTGCAAATGCAAATCATTCATCACATATACTCCCTCTGTTTTTTGTATAGGTAATTTTAGAAAAATGTTTTTGTTTCAAAATATAAATAGTTTTCAAATATCTAGGTAACTTTTACATTTATTGAATATGGTTTATCCAATCAAATAATATTGACTTTTATTTATGATTGGTTTAATTATACTTAGTTTAATATATCAAATATTACTTTAAAATCACTAACAACTTTTTATTAATATTTGTGCATTCAACTAAAACTACTTATAAAAAGAAATAGAAGGACTATATGTTTTTTCTTATTATATAATATTTTTATTGAATTTGCGTTTGAATATTAAACCAATTTCTTATGTATGAAATAACATATTTTTAAAAAATTACATAATTTATTATAATCGTAACCCGTAATTCGAAACGCTAGATTAACAAACTTTTTATATTTATTCATTTTATATAATAAATCACTGTATATTTTTTTAGATAAATTTTATTTTATACATGAATTATATAGTTTACGAATGTTAACCATTTCTACGAACATATTATATTTTTAGGATAAATATTTTATATTTATTAACATAAATTAACTTATCAATTTCAAAACACTTTATCATATTTAGTTTAATATAATGGTTTATTTTTAAACTGATAAATATAATTAGAAAATAGATAAAATATGATATAATTTTATTCTTTTAATTTTATAAAATATAGCTGAATATATATATATATATATATATATATATATATATATATAATGTATAACTAGACCTTGACCCGTGCGACCGCACGGGTATTAATTTTATTTTTTTAATTTTTATATTAGATGAAATTTTTTTAAAAATTAATTGTAGTACATTAAGTTTTTTTTGTATGTCTTAACAATTTATTGTATCAAAAATATTGGGTATCGTACAAACAAATCTAACATGTAGACGATATACTGAAAATATTTTTCAGTTAAAGATACATCAAATCTTGAGAAGTAAGAGTTAATATGATATACAAAAAAATGATAAATTAGTTATAACATTTCTAAGAAAAACCTGATGTTCAAATTATATAAAATTTTTAATATATAAAACATTTGGATTGAAATTTTTAAAATAAAATATGAAGTATCAATTAAATGGTTACAAATTACTTATGGGTTTAATTTTGACAGAAGAATACCGAAAATTTTGTTGTTTGATCCGTGCAAGTGTTTGTTTTTATATATTTTATAAGTGATAATATATATTTCTAAATTTACCCGTTTAAATAATTTTTTAAAACGACATTTTAAACACACAATTTTATAGTTTATATTGAGTAATTTTATTTTATCTTATAAACTATCATTGTGTCATACTTATTTTAAAATTATGACCCTATCTGCAAAAATGTTTTTTTATTTTATTTTTATGGATCAAAAGTTTATGATAATGTATAACTAAATTGTTGTATCTACTATTTAAAATATATGGTCCTATATATTTCTACTTTTTTAACTTTTATTATTTTGAATTTACCTTGAACTATTATTTATATAAAAATATACATAACATAATATGTTTATATTAATCTATGTATTATATATTATATAAATGTTTATTTTTTCTGACTTTTATTTGAGTTATTACTTATAAATAATAAAAATATAATTATATATCTCTGAAAACAATATTGTTCATTAACTATTTAAAGATATGTAGATAATTAATAAGAAAAAAAATCTTAAAAGGTAGGTTAATTAATATTGGAATTAATTATTATGTATATGGAATTAGTAAAACAATTTCTATAGAATTTATTTATTTAATTACGAAGGGTATATATGAAAATATCTATTTTCATAAATTATTATTGCCATAATTTTTTTTAGTTAAAATTTGATTTTGGAAATGCATTAATTAAAGTGAAAAGACAATGAATCCTATAAAGTAGGGTAATTAATAACTTCAGTGGCATGCTATTGTAAATAAAAGTGAAAATAATGGGTATTTTATATGGGTACTTCTCTTTTAATAATATAGATTACAATTCATGACTAATTATACAATTAGTGAAAATATTCATGTTCAATTTTTTACAGTTAAAATCTTGTTATAATCTTTGTTAACAGATTTCCTAAAATTTTTATATATATAAATTAAAAAAATATCAAGAGATATTATGAT